GATCTGAGAAAGCAGAGTGACTGCCGGACGCAGGACTAGAATTCAGACCTCCCAGCTTCTGAGTGGGTGCCCTTCCCACACCGCAGGGTGAGTGCTTTGTGTTTAGAGCGTAGGTTCAAGACCTTGGTTGCCCATTAGAATCACCTTAACAGTTACCAAAATATGCCAATGCCCTCCAGCGCTCCCCTTAGACCAGTGAAATCAGAATCTCAGGGGCGGAGGGTGGGGCTGGGGGGGCTGGACGTCAGCATCTTTAAAGCTGCCTCTGGAAAGGATTGGGAACCAGGGCCACGGTGGGGACCCATCCCCCAAACACCCTGGCTCCAGTTTCCTGGCCTCTTCTGCCTTCTTTCTGGCCCTGGCTATCAGAAACTGACCTTGGCCCGGCCTGGCCAGGCTGCCTGTGAGCTTCCTCGGTGCCCTCCCCCTCCCCCTTCCAACTCATATGGATGTCACTGTTGTTTTACAAAACAACCCCTCTGGGAGCTGCGATTTAAGCTCGATCCTCCAAGCTGAAGTCCCCTGGGGGCCCCTGAGATGAGGTTTGAGCCGGAAGATGGGGAGGCAGGTGGCTCTGACAGACAGAAAGCAAACAGCTCAAGGGGTGGCAGGCTGCATTTTATTCGTGGTTAATTCAGACACCCTTCAAGTCCTCTCTTGGCGTGCTGCTCAGAAAAATAAATGTATTATTTAAGGAACCCTGCAGGCTTGCCCCGCATGCTCTACCCACCCCTCCTGAGAGAACATGGAGCATAGAAAATAATGTGTAAAGCCAGGGGGAGCTCCCTAGGGAGCAGGGGGAGGGAGGAGGCTAGAAGATAGGGGACATGGGGCTTGGGTCAGGTTAGTGCAGAAATCTCATCGTTTCTCAGTGCACAATGAAACCGGCTGGGTGTGGGGCTGCGAAGGGGCCGCGATGGAGCTGTGACGGTGCACGCACCTGAAGGTGCCAGAGCTGCTCCAGGGGCAAGAGTCCAGGCCCCGAGTCCATGCTGATGCGCCGTCCTGGGGCTGGGAGTGGTCTCAGCAGCCCTCCATCCCTTCCCACCCCACAGGACGGAGCGAGCCTGTTACATGTGACCACCGCAACAAAGAAGCCCCAGCTCCTCTTCTGGACTCAGAAGTGCTCTAAGCTATCTGTCTGGGTGTGCCTTCCAGACGGTGTGCATGTGGAATTGTGCTTTTTGTTTGTTAAGAATGTAAAAAGTTACAGTAAGACGAAACCACCTGACACACAGCCCCTGCGGTCTCTGCCTCCGTGGGCTGCCATCTGCCTGGGTTCCTTGGAAACTTCTCCTTTGGTCCTGAGAGCTCAATCACCCCTCACCCCAAAGCACACAGGGAGAGGGCCTCTGCTAGCAAGCCTCACTAAGGGGCACGGGAGCCTGGGTAAATTTAGCAGCCCTTTGCCCGGGCTTCACCTGGGTTTGGACATAGGCTTCTGTGTAAAACATCATGCAAAGTGTACATAAAATCCCCCAGGGCAGAGCAGAATTTTCTAGGCTCTAGTAGATCTCCAGCGAGTCAAAAATGGAAACTCTTTCTTCTTACAGTGGCCCAGACTAAAATTTTTCCTTGGGGAATGGGGTTAGCCCCTCTTCGTAAGGCTGATGAGTGTGTGTTTTGCTGTGATGTGTGATGCCAAGGACTGTCAGGCATTTTCCACGAGCTGAGTGCTCAAGGCTGCCTGAGACTTCTGCCTCCCTTACTAGGCTCTGGCTTCAGTCAGAGGACATAGGGGCCAGGTCAGGAGGTCACCTGGCCTTGTTAGCAAGCAAGGACCCCATGGGTGGCTTCTCTACTTGCCCACAGCTGGGTGACTTCTTAAAAGCTTGTGCCTAAAATAAAATAAATTAAATAATAAAATAAAAAAGTAAAAAAAAAAAATTAAAAGAAAAAGGAAAAGCCCGTGTCGTTTCTGCCCCACGGCCCCGGCACTGGAGGGGTGAGTGTGGGCCCAAGGTTAGGAAGCAACGTCAGGTGCCTGGGGAGTTGTAGACTGCCGTGAGCAAGCTGCGGGTCAAACCAGGGACCCCACATGGTGGGCGAGGCCACAGTGTCTAAGAAAATGGAGCCCTTTCTTAGCCTGAGGTTCTGAAGAATCTGCACCACAGAAGGGGGCCCTTATCAGTGTCACCGTTTCAGAAGTGAGAGGAAGCCCCACCCCTGCGTGTTAAGGAGTTCTGGTTCTCGATGCCCACCCTCAGGCAGGGCGTCATACAAGCCCTTTAGTTGTGTGTGGGTCCAGGCTTCATGACTCCCCCTGAACTTGGGAGCCCGGCTTTCCCCAGGAGCATTCCTGGCATCTGGGGCACTGAGCCCTTTGGCCTGAGTGATGGACAGTGATGGGGAAGGGACCAGGAGAACTTGGGCAAAGATACATGCCTGCCACTGGCTCCTGAGCTACCACTGTATGTTGGAGGCTTGTGTTTCTCTGGGAGGTTGCTGAGAGGGAACGGTCCCTCCCTGCCTCCTCAAACCACAACTCGGGTTCCTTCGGAAGCTTGCCCAGGCTGCCCACAATCGCCTCCTTCAAAGGCAAAGCATTGGAAAGGGAGTGACAGCAGCTAAGGCCGAGGCACCAGCACTTTAGCAGAGACTTTAGGAAAAACTGCTGACAAAGAAGACTGCTAAAGAAGGTTTTGCGATTTTTCTTCTCGGGAGGCAAGTCCTGTTTCCTCCTGTGGGGATGGGATTCTGGGTAGTCCTGTGTGCCGGTCAACGGGATCACCTGGCCACCTCTCTGGACCATCTAGCGCAAAGAGCCTTGAAGGCCGGGTCACAAGCCCCCTGTGCTGTCTCAGGGGCTCACTCCTTCCAGGCGGGCTGCTGTTTTGCCTGCCATTGAGACCTCATGGTCTAGGTGCCTCTATCATGGGGAGCTCTACCTCCCCACCTGGATGGCTCAGATCCCCAAGTTATTTCTCATTACCTAGGTGACACCTCTAGTTGGATGCCTTTTAATCTTTTGCTCTTTTAAAGGGATACATATGACACTTTATTTAGGTCCTGTGAGAGGACCCCGTCCTAGAAAACATGTGCCTAAGTGTGCAGTGCCTTCAGCGTGACCAGAGCCGTCACTGAGACACAGGCGGGGGGCTCAGGAGCTGGCCCGACAGTCATGGTCCATATTCTGGAGGCGCGGCCCCCGGACGCCTTTCCTTTCTGGGGAAGCAGCCCTGACCTCTCTCCCGGCCACCCTGCCTCACTGGCTTCACCCCAGCTAGGGCTTGTGTTTTCAAACCTATTTCAGCACAAACTAGAAATTACCCAAAGTAGCTGGAGAATCACTGAGATCCCAACTTATTTTTTTTTTCTTTCTGCCATGAACTGGAAGGGGAAAGAAGAGGCTGACATTTAAGTGTGACTCTTAATAGTAGTGTGTGTGTGTTCCAGGCTCACATGCTTCGCTCGCTGCCAGGGAGGGAGACCTCATGGCTCTCGATCTCCCAGTGGTGATCGAAATGGCTCTCTCGGTGGTGTGAGGTGTCCGGTGCTTTTCTATATATATATATGACTAGTGTATATATAAAAATATATGTAATATATATATGTGTCTGACTAGATATCACATTTGTCCTTGGAATCGTCATCTTTTCAGATGAGAAAATGGGCTGAAAGGGTGTGGTTCTTTCATATTCCAAGATCCTTATCCTTTCAATAAAGGATAGGCCTCTGACCTTCCTCCAGGTCAATGTCTTAGAGGGTGAGTCTGGGAGATCCTGTCTGTTAGCTTGAGGATCATTCAGAGCAAAACCTGAGTCCTAAAACTGCTCCCATCCTGCTGTTCCACCAGCTCCCTCCCTTCTGCCTTCCTCTACCTCCAATACACACCATGTGTGGAGGAAACAACTTCACTTGATTACCAGTGAGGGCCAAATAAGGTTTAGAATGGGATGTGCCCCCAAAACCCTATGCACTCTGGAGCCAAGTTCTCTGACGTTTACAGGACGGCTGCTTTGACTTCCTGGTGCTGCCGCACCGGTGCCTGTAGCGGGTGCAGCTGGCGCAGCCCTGATTCGGAGGAGGAGGGGAGGGCTGGAGGCTGCACTTTGCATCATCGGGCTCTCGAAAAGGGAAAAACGTTGAACTGATCAATGGGAGTTAAGAAAAAAAAAATACACACTAGCAAAGCAAAATGGATGACGCTTGTGAAAGAAAGGAGGGTTGGGAGATTCAGAGATGTAAGGGGGGCCTCTGAGATCAGGCAGCTGAAGCAGAGCAGGGCCCCTGCAGCCCAGTGCTCCCCTCCCGGCGGCAGGCAGGCCACCCTGGGTTTTCTTCATTCAGAGTAGTTGCCCCGTGTGCTGCGCTAAGTGAACCACAGACTGAGAAAGGCCAGCTAAGCCCCTTACCACTGCAATTTCCAAACCTCGGGGAAACGCCGCAGTCCGCAAGTTGGTTCTATGTTTCATCTCATTGCGTAATACTACACCATTCTGTGTGTAGCGGCTGTGCTATCTATATACATCAGGAGGTAACAGATGGCTCTCCCCACCCCCACCTGTCAAAACTGTGACTATATCACTTCTGACGACCAGAAGGAAGCTGCTAGGCTGGGCCAGGATTCTAAATGCTGCGGAGGTAATTCAGAGCCATGTAAAGTTGCACCATATGTTTTGGGGTTGCCGACTGCTTACGTGCATGGGGACCGGGTTTCATGCCAGTCTGCAAAACCTAGGGCTGGCACTCTCCTCGCTGCGGTATGCACCGGGTGAGGGATTGGGTGCCACTTTTCCTCTCCCTCGAAGAGAATCTACTTGGGGCCACGGTTCTCCAAGAGGGGACCCACAAGTAAAATAGGTTCCCCCAAAACCTGTCACTGATAACATCAGGCCTGGCCAAATAGTATTTCTTAAAAAAATTTTTTTGGTTTCATTTTATTGGATAAAGATTAAGAAAGCGCCAGCGTCTGAGAGAAGAAAAGCAAGCCACGCCTGGTGGCACGCCAGCCTGGCGAGGGTCCCTGGCGCCGCAAGAAGGGCAGGCGGGCGGGCAGTCTACCTGGAGGCGCTGGTCTCCGCCAGGCGGTTGTTCATGATGCCCAGCGCACCCACGCCGCCCGAGAAGCCGTTCTGGCGCGTGTTGACGCACACGCTGCGCGGGTAGCCGTTGGCCGTCTCGGACAGCTGCTTCTGCAGCAGCGCCAGCGACACCTTGTTGGAGGCGGTGAGGTCGCGCATGGAGATGAGCTCGCCCGACAGACGGCGGCCCTCGGCGTCGCTGTCGCCGGCCGCGGGGTCGACGCCGAGCGCAGCCAGGCGGCGGCGCAGCCGGGAGCCGGGGGTGATGGCGTTGCGCCGAGCCAGGGGTGCGCCGGGTGCGGGGCAGCAGCGGGCGCAGCAGCGACAGCTCAGCTTTCGCAGCATCCAGTTGAGCACCTGCTTGATGAGGATGGAGATAACATTGAAGAGAGAATAGATGCAGCACACGCCGAGCAGGATGAAGAGGAAGTTTCCCAGGCGGTAGAGTCCCTGGTTCCTGTAGGCAGCGTGCTGGCTGCTCACCAGGTCCCCGAAGCCAATGGTGCTGAAGGTGACAAAGCAGAAGTACAGTGAGTCCATGTAGTCCCAGCCCTCCACGCTGGTGTACATGGCCGAGGCGCAGCACGACAGCAGCACTGCGAACAGGCCCAGAATCAGCAACACGTGGTACACCGAGGGCTTCCAGCCTGCCAGGGAGTCGGCCTCCGAGAGCGCCGAGCCGTGGCGGAAGGTGGCAGGCAGCAGGCCACTGCGGCGCAGCTGACGCTCGCGGCAGGTGCGCATGATGAAGGCCAGCAGCGAGATGATGCGCTCCAGGAACAGGTTGAAAAACAAGATGGTCCCAGCACAGCCGAAAAGCCCGTAGGCGATGAGGAAAGCCTTCCCACCCACAGTGGCGGGTGTGGTCATGCCGAAACCTGCAGAGACAGGACAAGGGTCAGCGAGGTCCTGGGTGGACAGGAGGTCCTTAGTGGGTGGGTGCTCTGAGTATGCAGGTGATGCTGTGGCTGCTACCTTGAGTGGCATGGCTCAAGCAGAGAGGAGTTAGTATTTAGACATTTCTCTCCCTTCATGGCATTAGACATTATTCCTGATTTTGTCAGCCCATAAACTGTTGGAGGAGACATAGCCTCTCCTGTTGGGGATCTTAAGTTAAAATGGATAGGCCAAGCCCTGGCTGGTGTAGCTCAGTAGGTTGAGTGCCAGCCTAGGAACCAAAACCTTGCCAGTTCAATTCCCAGTCAGGGCATATACATTGGTTGTATCCGGGTTCCTAGTTGGAGGCCTGTGAGAGGCAACCAGTCCATGTATCTCTCACACATTGATGCTTCTCTCCCTCTCTTTCACCCTCCTCCCCACTCTCTCTAAAAACAAACAAAATCCTTAAAAAACAGGTGGGGCAAGATGGTCACTAGGAAGGACTAATCAGGACACAGAACAGAAACCACTGTACCAGTGCAAACCACGCAGGTGCCTACAAAGCAAGTGTCATCTGCTCTCTGATTCCTTGAATCTGTTTGTTAATGTAACCAGTGGCACGCCTAGGCCTTATCAGGATGGCATTCCATTAAAGGCTTCATTTTATATGGGATTTCTGGGGACCAGGTAGAGGGTATTCAGTCCAGGGAGCTATATTTGGTGGTTTCTGAAAAGAGGCTTATGGAACCGGCAAAAGGACTGTTTGAGAGTGACTCCACAATCTTCAGAGAGTAAACATGGTTTTGCTGTTGAGTGCCAGCTTCTTCTCACCCAAGGACCACCATCATCCCTGCTCTCATTCGAGAACGGAAAGGTTACGGTCCAGTGCAGTCCTGCGCTGCTTCTGTCCTGGCAGATCAGCTCTGTGCCTGGGCAGCTGCTTATTGCTTCGAGCTCTTATAATTAAGTCTTAATTCACCCACTTACTCAAAGCACAGTCTTTAAAGGAGAGTCTTCATCAATTGATTTCTGCGGAAGGCTTGTCTGGCTTCCCACCAGTGGGCTCAGCACATGCCACGCAGGGCAGTGCAGAGTGGTAGCTCTGCCCCTCCCACTTGAGCTCTCGGCCTGCTGTTGGCTTTAGTTTCTTTGTGGCACTCATGGCTGCCTGACTCTGGTTATAAGAAGGGATTTAATCTCTTGGTGGGAAGATTCACTGCTGCTTGGAGTATGAGTTGAAAATGAATCATCTGTCTGAGTAGCACTATGGCACCTTTCGACACCTCTGCAGCAAAAGGTCAGGGGCATCCCTCTTTAATTCATACCCAGTGTCAAGAGGGCTACCTGTGCAGTGCTAGTGGGGTGGGGCAGCCCTGGGAAGGAGGAAGTAGAGTTTTGTCTCTGGGCTTACCATTTCCTTAAAAGGGCCCGAGAAAAAAATTTTTTCAGAGTAATTCCTTAAACCTGTATGCTAATCAGTCTCTAGATTCCCTGGAAGAAATGCCCACTCACCTGACCATGGTCTTGATCTTAGGCCTTGTGGCTCAAGTTAGGAGACAATGTTATGATCATGAACCCACATTGAGAAAGATGGATTATATCCCTAGATTCAGAATTTGGCCACAAGACAGTGAAAGACCAAATTAGCCATGTAACCAGGACTGTCTTCCAAAAGCACCACAAAAGCCTCCATTGCTCCTAGAGAACCAAACTGCAGTCCTCCAGGCGTGGGGCTCAGTCATGACTCCTGTCCCCAGTAGTCCTCTTTCCTCTTGTGGCTCTCTTCCCAGTGCCTGTTGCTGGGGAGAGGGGCCACTGCTCCTGCCTGAACGTGCCCACCAAGGTGGACACATCGCCTGTGGCTCGGCACAGCTAAGAAAGGTGGGGCTACTCAAACCAGATTTGACACAGGGCTTGGGCACAGCGGGAGGGATGAGACACAGAGGGCACCACTGCCCTCTGTTTATGTTTAGCCATGTTTATGGCTAGCAGTCTTGCTGGTTGCTCACAGCAGGGTTCTCATCTGCCCCTTGGGGTCCCCACAGGACTGCCCCTGCCTGACCCACCCTCTGAGTCAAAGGTCACCTCTTCCTTCTCCCAGAGCATCCTCAGATCCCTGCAAACTCCTCCTTGTCTAGACTCTTGGATGCCACCCCAGGCTTCTGTTTGGAGTCGGGTCTCTTGTTGAGCACGTGTCCCCCTGGGTGTCCCTGAGTGATGGAACCAGAATGAGGCCTGTTTCTCTGCTCCCCTTTCTCCTTCCCCAAGGGGCTTTCTCCACACCTGAGGTATGTGTGGCCTCATGCTAGAGCCTCTGCATCGCAGCGCCACCAGACACGCAGCTGCGGGACCAACGTCCACCATTCATCCCTCAGCAGACAGTGACAAGGGTTTAGCAGGCTTCCTACTAGGCTCGGGGATGTGGTGGAAAACAAGACAGACGCAGTCTCTGCCCAGAGTCGCTGGGCTGCCTTCTCAGAGGTTTTGTACAAATGCTCGCCCCTCTGCTGCCAGCAGCTCAACCCTGGGCCAGGGCACGGCTTTGCCCTTCTGCCCCCGAGAAGAGGCTGGGCCAGGACTTGTCCTGGGGTCTCCTCATGGTCATGACTGCAGGCCCAGAATGAGGCCAAATGCTTGACTGGCAGTGGCACTCTCTTCCCAGAAGTGGACAGGCAGGTCACGAGGTTTTCTGACAACGCAGAAGGCACTCAATGCAAATGTCCCTCTCACTGCTCCGAGTGCTGAGGTCTGACACCTGTGCCCACTTTGCCCCCCTCCAGGCCACACTGTAGGCTCAGCTCAGGAGACAGGTGGAGGGGGCATGGTTTCCCCTCCTTCCCCACCAATAGACTCAGAACTCAGGGGGATGCTGAGGCCCCCAGGGTCAGGCTTCTTGCTGAGGGGAGTGAGGTCCCTGCCTGGGCTGCTGCCTGACCAGATGCTTCCCAGAGTGGAGTAGTCCCCCACGCTCTGATAATCTGCAGGGAGTCGGGCTGCTCCAGAGAGGGGCCTCGAGGCTTCAGGATGAGAAAAGACAAACCCAGCCACCCCGAAAATCCTCTCCTTCCCCAATCAAACCCTGCAGAGGCGTAATCTGTCCCCAGCTTTGCACCAAGCCTGCTATTTTGTTTATGCCACAATTGATCTGCCATCCTGGTTTGCACAGAGCAGACACTTGGGGGCTTTATTATGCCACTTTGACAAAAGCTGTTAAGCTCGTTCCCACAGCCTGTCTGGTGCCGCCTTCGCAAATGGGGGCCCTGGTGACAGGGCCTCTGGAGTTTTCAGCTCAAAGAGCCTGGAATTGAGACAGGGAGGCCAGCACTGAACTGTATCATGGGCTGTGGGTGGAGCCTCTGTGACACATCCCTCTGGTGGCACCTCCAGTCCCTTTAGCCACCCTGTGAGGGAGGCATCATTAACCCCAACAATGCAGGCCAGGACATGGGCCAAGGGCATTGAGGGTACTTGCCCAAATTATAGTTTTTAAGCTTTTTTCTGAGCTGACCCCGAAGCCCTTCCCACTGCCCCAGAAGATGGGAAGTCCTGGTTCATCACCTTAGCCACCTTGTCCTGTTGGCTCTGTAGTGTCAACTCTGAGGGGGAGAAATATAAGTGACCCAGAATACTTGTGAGAGTAACAGGACACTACTAACAGTTCCCCCGGGACGGCACGTATAAATCAGGGCTGCTCCAAGCAACCGGGATGTATGATTCAAATGCAGATTCCAAGGCAAGTCCCATTCCAGACGTTTATTTAGTACATTGAGCTCTATTTCCAGGCTGTTTGCCAGGTCAGAATAGGGGCCCAGGAACCTGCATTTGGCAACTGGCTCCTGATGATTCTGATGCAAATGGGCTAGGACGCTTCCTTTAAGAAAGAACGTTATATCCCTGATGACCCTTCTGGATGGAATCTGTCTCCCACTGTTCTCTTAAAGGTTTATTATTATCAGGAATCTTTCTACTCTCCAGGGAATTAGGCACCGACAGTTATGTGCTGAGTGAATGACTGAAAGCAAACATTTTAAGAACTTCTAAAGGCTGGGAGTTAAATACCAGAAAGAGCAGGAAAACCGAAATGTGCTGTTAGAGAGCAGGGGAGGAAAAGGAAGTGTTAGGGTTGCCAGATACAATACAGGATGCTTCGTTAAATATTACTATCACTTCCAGTAATGAATTCTTTTTTAGTGTGTCTCTCATGTGATTCGTTGTTTATCTGAAGTTCAAATTTCACTGGGAGTCCTGTGTTTTTATTTGCTAAATCTAACAGTGCTGCCAGGGGCCCATTTGTCGATAAGGTGCCCTCCTCTGAGAAGCCCTTCCCAATGTCCCCATCTCCTCCCATCCCTCCTGATGGGCCAGAGGAGGGACTAACAGCCTCACTTTAATAACTAAGCAGCCTGAAGCTCACACCCAAGGCCTGGGCAGCAGCCAGGCCTGCCAGTGCCCCTCCCTCTCCAAAAAGGGAACAGAGGGAGCTGTGGGGTGAAGGGTGGGGCATCGGGCTGCTCCGTGACTGGAGCCCAGACCCTGAGTGCCAGGGAGGAAAAGGGGGCTTCTGGGGACGCTCCATGGAGGAGGGCTGGACTTGAGAGAACACTGGGCCAGAGAGCCTTCCCTAGGACATGAGCTCCAGCCCCGGAGCTCCAGCCCTCAGCGCTGTCCCTGTGTCCTCGTGCAAGTCACTCTTCAGGGGAAGACCTGCAGCCTGGAGAAGTCCCAAGCCCCTTGGGAGAAGTGGGGCTGGAAGAACGGCCGGGGAAAGTGGTGAAAGCACTCGGTGAGGAAGGAGAACGCAGGGGGGATAATAATAGCTGACGTGTGTGGAGCCCTCACTGTTTCCAGGCACTTCGCCAAGACTTCACGTCTATCAGTGCATTTCGCCCTCACAACAACTCTGTGAGACACTCATTCATTCGAAGTCACACTTTTTTCTCTTGAATTTCAACCTCCCTGAAATCAGGATGGATTTTACAATCAATGACCCGACAGTTTATGTGGTAGCATTTTAAATTCTTAATGGTAGGCAATAATGGAACATTTATAATTGATGGAGATCTGATGAATGACAGAGGAGTCATTATCATCCCCAACTGTGAGATGAG